TAAAGTTTTTGGCTGGGCTGAGACTAAGGGGGCCGTAGGTGACATTGGAAGAAGTCAGGGCATTAGAGGCTCACGGGAGCAACCTGGGGGGAAGGGGAGGCCCCTTGACAGCAGGGATGGGATTTGAATGGGGGGCTCCGAGGCCAAACCTGGGGCCGGGAGTCGGAGCAAGGAGCGGCTCGGGGGCAAGAGAGAGGCTGCCGGGGCGAGGCACGGGTGGCTTACTCCGGGGGCGACGCTCCTCCACGCCTCAGGAAACGGGGTGTCCCAGGTCTGGGGAAAGAGACCACCCCGAGGGTCCCAGAGCCCGGGCGGGGCTGTAAGGGACGAAGGACTCTCGCGGCCCCGAAGGCGGGTCGCGGGCGGAGGGGGAGAGGAGGCCCGGCCGCCTCAGCTGCTCCGAGCCTGGGGGTCTCTGCCCAAAACACCCCCTCCCCCGGCCCCGGACGTTGCTACGGCCACCGCCGCCAGGCAGTCACATCCCCCGGGCTCCGTCGCAGGACCCGACCTCCCCCCGCAGGTAGGGGCCGTGGACAACGGAAGGGCTCCTCAGCCGCAGGACCCGGGAACCGGCTCCGGCTCCAGCGCTGTTCAGGGACGGTCACCGACCCCCGCGGCCGCCATGATGGATTACGAGCCGCTCACAACGAGGCCAGGCCCCGCCTCTGGCCCCGCCCCCGGTGACGTCCGGTGCGCGCCGCGAGGTGACCGGGACCCTCCCGGCGCCGCTTTCTGGGACGCCGCCGCACCTTCTGGCTCTAGTCTCTCTGCCCGCCGGAGCCCAGCCCCGCACGACCTGTTAAATGTGGTTTTTCCGAGCGCAAGGTGAGTGGTAAGGAAGCTCCCGCCTCCCCTCTACTGCCATTGGTCTCCGAGAATCCGGGTCAGCTCACTCTCCTGCATCCCATTGGCCGGTAGGGACAGTACGGCTAGAGCTCCCAGCCAACCACTTTTGGCGTAGCCCGCAGAGCGTGCTGGGAGTTGTGGTCCTGCGGCGCCAGCCCCTGTCCGCGCTCGCCGGGGACTTGGCTTCTACTCCCAGCTCCTGAGCTTCGGTCCCGCCCTCCTGGGAGCCGGTGGACTCTATCCGGCCTCGCGAAGGGCTGGCCGATGGCTCCCCTGAGCGGGTAGTTAAGACCGGAGAGGAACCAAAACAAGGGGAAATCTGCGGATTGGATTTCCCCAGAACTGGAGGTGGATTACTTCCTTGAGCCTCTTTAGGAGAGAAAATTTAGCTCGCTCCTGGAAACTGAGGTATTTGGTGACTTCACCGCCCCCCTCTCACCCCCAGCTTCCACCTTTACTCCAAGAAACATAAATATTAGAACTAGCGAAAAATAGACAACTGGAAAGCGTCCGACATTCTGCTAACGAATTCTTTCTTTGGAGTATCAGGAAGCTCACCCATTAAAGAAACAGCATTTAAGAACCTTTCGGAGGCAAAACCAAACACAACCTTAGATGTCTGGGTGAGAAGGAACCTTTGAGATTAATCTCAAACTCATACAGTGATGTATGTTAACTTCTGGGGGCGGGGGAAGGATCAAACAATCTAATTTCAGAGGTGTACACATATTTACATGAAAACATGTTAGCCGAGATTGTTGAGTAGGCCTACAGAGCTAGCCGATGACCCGGACACACCAAACCCACACCTGCCATAACCCATTTTATGCAACTAAAATGTACCCTTGTCCCCAGTTCTTCACTCCATGTCTCCCCAGAGCAGTGCACCTACCTTCCCCGGATATACCCATTTCTAAGGGGATCCACTCACAACACGTAGTCTATACTATGCTGTTATGCCTTTCATAAACTGTATTCTCATTTAATCCTCACTCTAGCCCAGTGAGGCGTGGATTGCTAACCCCCATATACAGATGGGGAAACCGAGTGAGATGTGACTTACTCAAGGCCACTGGCCTAGTGATGTGACAAAGTCACTATTTTTCCACCGTACCATTCAGTATCAAGTAACTGTTGACTTAATGTCAGACAGTTTTGTTTTGTTTTGTTTTTGCGGTACGCGTACCTCTCACCGCTGTGGCCTCTCCCGTTAAGGAGCACAGGCTCCGGACGCGCAGGCTCAGCGGCCATGGCTCACGGGCCCAGCCGCTCCGCGGCATGTGGGATCTTCCTGGACCGGGGCACGAACCCGTGACCCCTGCATCGGCAGGCGGACTCTCAACCACTGCGCCACCAGGGAAGCCCCAGACAGTTGATTTTTTAGAAGTTGCTACTGACAGTAGAGGGAAACCAGTTGCATTACAGGTGTTGTACATTCAGTTACTGAGTTGTGTATTTTAGAAATACTTTTGCTGGATTGGGAAATGGTGCTAATTTTATAGATATTGGCTTGAAGAAAAAATAGTCACTTGGAGGTACTGAATGTGAAGCATATGAAAATGTGTGCCCAAATTTAGAAGTGGAATTTATATTTAGATGTTAATTGGGTTAGCTTTGCTCTATCACTAGTCTGGCTGACAGACTTGGTCCTGGCTTGTAGATCACTCTTCAGACTTCAACAACTTTGTTCCCTTTAACTCACCCCTTTTTTTGTTTTCTTCTTCTTTTTTTTTTTGTGGTACGTGGGCCTCTCACCGTTGGGGCCTCTCCCGCTGCGGAGCACAGGCTCCGGACGTGCAAGCTCAGCGGCCATGGCTCACGGGCCCAGCTGCTCCGCGGCATGTGGGATCTTCCCGGACCGGGGCACGAACCCACGTCCCCTGCATCGGCAGGCGGACCCTCAACCACTGCGCCACCAGGGAAGCCCTTTAACTCACCCATTCTTATCCTGTTCATCACCCTAATCTTTCTCTTTGAATTTGGCTTTTTATTCCTATTAATGCTTTAATCATTCCTACACATCTTCATTCTTCTCTCTAGTTTAGCTTAAAACTGAGCAATCAAATCAGAACTCTTACTAACCCACACTTCTTAAACTAATAATTCATTCACAAGCATTGTGGAGCCCCTGTGTACCACTGTCCTGGGTGCTGGGATAAAATTGAGTGGGGGACACAAACGGATTCATCCTTGTCCTCCCAGAGCAGACATGGGAGGGACAGGCAATAAGTAAAATGAGTAAAATCCAAAGTATTGGTCTCAATGCTGGAAATAAAATTTCTGGACCCCATAACCTTTCACAATCAGTCCAACCTATTCTCTAAAGGGCTGCTTTATGACGCCTCTCTAGAGCTTAAACCTACGGATTCACAGTTGCTAATGAGCTTTAATTGAAGTCACTTTAATTCTGTGAATGGCTTTCATTTATAAGTGGGGGTCATATCAAACTTTACAAGGTTATCATGAGGATCAAGTGGGATCTGGTTTCCCACAAAGATTGAGACTATGCTTCCTAAAGTCTGGGTAGAAGCCAACGGCACTAGTTTTAGGTGAACCCCAAGCCCAGACTGTAATGTTTCCTTCCACAGATGCACTGTATAACACTGGAGAATGATACTCTAAAGGACTTAAAACTAGAATCCTGAGCCCAGCAAACGCCTGACAGTCAGAAGTAAATAAATGTTGCCAAATTTGAATAAATCCCTTTAAGCTCATATATTCTATTAAAAGTGATTCAGTTCAGTCTAATTTTGTCCTCATGTTTATAAAGCAAAGCAACCCACAAGCTGCTACAGGGATTCAGTACCCGTGTAAAAACTTCAGCTTTTTTTTTTAAAAAAAAAAAAAACACCTACTGGAATTACACTTAACAAGGGCACCCTCTAGTGGGCCACAGAAAGTGGATAATCACCAAAAGGTGCTTTCAGACCTTTATATATTTCCACTTAGTAGGTAATCACTATTCAGAATATACTGAATGAACAGCAGAGGCTGGCGGCTTGGGAGACCAAGTGAGAAAGATAAACTTTCAACGAACCTCCATATGGTCCTGGTCAAAACCAACCCAAACCAGGGGTGCAGGCTCCCATCCTCCCCGATTCCCTTCTCTTAAGAGGCACACAACCTGGAATGTGTTTCAGAAACAACAAGGGAGCAAATCCAAAGTTGCAACATAGCCTATACAGTATTCAGTTGTCTGCAAACTCCTCAAAACAGGTGATACACTTGGGATAGAAGAAAGAAAAGAGAGAGAGAAAATTTGTCTGAATAATGTTATAAAGAAAAGACATACAATTTAACAAGAAAGAGCTGAGCTACATTTCAAAAGTGTCAAATTCTCCACCTTACTCCTGAAACTGTCCTAGGTTTGAATTTTACTAGGTGACTCGAGTAGTTAGGTCTCTGTCAGAAGAATTCCTATCTCCCAAGCCTTCCTTCAACTGTACTCAGTTCCCAAGTATTACACAGAACACAAGAACAGAAACAGTGATGCCACATTTATAAATATAAAAAAAAATAGTTCACCAAATAGCACTCTCATATACTGACTTTAAAAGAATGTTTCCCCCAAACCCAAATCAGGGCATCATTTTTAGACAGTCATCCGAAAAACAATGCATAGACATTCTAGCCCTTCCCACTGAGAACTAAAACACCTTGTTTTTACCTTTTAACCCTGAATTATTGAAAAGTTAATGTGTTTCTTCTCCTTCAACTGTAGGAGGAAAAACACCTTTTCTTTTCCCATCTCCATTTTCCTTACTTTGTTTTCATGATTATCAGAGTACCCAAAACATTCATTCTCTTTTATCAATAATTCAACTTCTTACAAATCATCCTTGAAGGCAGGACAGATTAAGGCAGCCTGGCGGGAATATACTCGCATCTATCACTAGGAGGAACATGCAATGAGAAATAAGATTCCAGCCAATCAAAAGGCTGCTTGGTTGCTTCATTCCTCCATTTGATTCTTGGGTTAACTTTACCAACTACATTCTTCAGTGCTGTACTCGCACTGTGGAAGAGGTGGGAATGGAGGCCAAAACAGACAATTTGGGGGTCAGGGAGGCCATGTTTTTTATACAGGCAATTTCATGGGGCATTGTGCCTGCTGATGGTTGATGGTAAGTACAGGACAAAAGATTCCTTGTATTATTCCAGGACAGGAGTCCACTTGGCTGGAACACTAAGTGCTTTTAAGGCCTGAAACTACCCCTAGTACCAAAACTCTGTGGGCAACCCAAGGGGCCGGCAGTGCCGTTCACCTTCCCCCAGGCTTTGCCTTAAAACAGGAGAAAGCAGGTCTTCAGGGTGGAGGCGGCCCCTTGTAGGTAAAGTGATGAGCTCCCCAGGTCTTCACTGAGCTGCACATGGGGACCACCAAGCAAACTGTTCACTTTCAAGGACTGCTCTGGTCAGGTACACACATCTGAAGTCCTGTCCTTCAGATGCCTCTCCTTATCCCTCCTGTTCTAAAAGCCTCTGGCGTGTTTCCATCACAATTTCCTCCATTATTTCTGGCTTTAAGATGTCTTTGATCTGAAAAAGAAAGGAAAAAAGGTACTTGTTCTAAGCACACCATCAAGCCAATCCAAATGCAGAAACCAAGTATGGTTAACATGAACCTTCTGTTTTCCTTTCATGTATCAGAGGCTAAGTATTTGCAAGATATGATCTGCTAGAACCAGCTTAATAAATCAGCAAGGTTCTGTGGGATATAGCTGACAAGAACAAAGACGTTACTCTGGCAGTCACTAGAAAGACAGCTAAAACTTGGGATGGGCAAGATGAAGTCCAGGGGGTTGCTGTTGTAAAGTAGCCCCACCTGGCACCTCCAAAGCCCACAAATCCTTTCACTGACATTAGACATTGAGAATATTACTAGCATCTCGGCGAAAGCTCTCCAGACACTCAACAAGGCTGTCCACCAGATCAGTTCACACCAATGGACATGGTTAAGGTATGTGGGAGACGTGCTTGCTGTCTGAGGAAACATGGAGCAGATGACACTTAAGGCTGCTCACAGATCAACAAGGAAAAGGGAAGCCCCGGGTAGAGTACCTGATGTGGAAGGGATGCTTCATAGCAATACAGGATACTGGTATCATACAGCATCATTCTCTGAGTTGCCAGCGAGACGATGCAGTTCCGAAGCCGGGAGATCACCTCTCGATCAGCAAGGGAGACAGGCTACCAGGGAATGCCAAGGGGAAGGGGAGGGAAATACAATCAGGACCAAAAGAAGCAAATGGTTACAGCAAATCCCGGGAATCATTTATAACTGAGGCAGTATCACTCTGGGACTCCAAACCAATCCAACTGCTAGCTCCAAGAGAGATTAAAAAGGACGGCTTCTTCAGTGGCTCTTAGGCTATTACCCTGCGACTTTGCCATCTCTGCCGAGAAAGATCAAACCAGGCGCTGATTTCATCTCTTCAGAACAAGAGAGGGCGACACAATGTTTCGATGGAAATTCAAACTATAGCAGCGCAGCAGATAGAGAGCGTCCCCACCCGCCACAGAAGCACAGCACCGACTAAGCGCCGCTCCATCCCAGCAGTGACAGTGGCGTTTGCTCACCTCCAGGTTTGCAGTGAAGCCCCCTGCATCCTCCTCTTTGTGCTCAGGTGTTGGGTAGATCCAGACGAAGCCGTTGTTGCCCAGAATCACTGAGGCACCGCACGGCAAGTCATGGAAGTGAGTCTTCTGCCGTTTCACCAGGGAGGGGGAGACCTGAACCAAAACACCCTGACCTAGCTGAAAAAGTATATCGTAAATTAAGTCACTGTAGGATCATCAGTGAGGTAACTTAAAAGCAGAGTACAGGATGTGTCCTAGTTAGACTGGAATCAGGGTCCTTCCTGTTGATAACTGCCCCTACATGCACATACACAGTAAATACAGAGAACACTTCCGGATGCATTAAGTTGTTTACATATCCCAACAGAAGGTAACTTTCCATCTCTTCTCTACCATTTATTTTACTTTGCAGTCGTCTTCACATTCTAATCCAGGGCTGGTGCCACAGCTGTTAGAGAAGCTGGAGCCAATGAGGACGTGGGCTCGAGCCTCCTGTGGGTCAAGGAGCACTATTCTGTTCCACCTTGACCTCAACCACCCATCCTGCCCACGAGATACGCCATTGGACAAGGTGACTGGCCTAGGGCTGGGTGCAAATCCATTTGGCAGGTCAGCTCAAGCCCCACATCCCGCTGAAGGGGCGTCTATTACAGGACCCGGGGCCATGAAGGTCGGCACGTGCAGTGCAGCTGTTTCCTCTCCTGCTTCAGGGATGTGAGCATGATTGGCTGTAGCCATTCCACTGAGGACAGAGGTTTTTGTTCCACCCAGAAAATGAGAACGTTCACCCAGAGAAAGGCAAGAGACTGATAAATCATAATTTGTTTTGCAAAGTATTCTATCATTAAAAAAATAAATAGCCTCCATACCGTCACCTTATGTTAGAAAAGCGGTAAAATTTCACGTAGAGGCTCAAGTGACAAGCCCATCTTTCCTAACAATAATATCCATTTTATTGACTGGACACGTGTCTAAGGGCTGAGGCCATCCTACTTCATCAGTCCATGACCTCCCTTTGTTCTCAGCACAAATGCAATGCAAAGCTGCCACGCCCCTTGGGAGAGAGCAGAGACAGCAGGGCCGCAGGGCCCAGGGTCCAGGGTCATAGGGGCTCTTCAGCCAGAACAATCTCCTCCGCAGAAAAAGGGTTAGAGTTGTCATCCTTTATGATGCTACCGGCCCTTGACTGTGTGAATCAGTGTGTAGGATGCCAACCTGTTAAGGCTTGACTTCTGGGGGGCTTTAGGTCAGCATTCCAGAGAGCACTGGGGATTGGGAAATGGATTTGAAGTCTCAGTCAGCAAATGAGAACAGCCAGAGCCCAACTTACTTTCCCGTATTTGAGACTCCTCGTGTGCAGAGAGACAGCTCCATCAGAGAACACTGCCTGGACCTCAGCCTGGCCGGGTGATGAAGGAACAAACACTTTCACGTCACCTGCGTCCCTGGCTCCCCCCTCCATCCTTTCCTCTAATGGCCAAGAGTCCCGCCCAAAGTCGTAGACGGACTCAGAGGTCACACTGCTGTGACCTAACCTCTCCCCCTTGGCTGTCATGAATACTCTGACATGAACACCACCTTTTCTACTCCCTCAGGTAAAAGTTAACATCGCGGGTGGGGGGTTAATGGCGGACTCTGGGAGGGCTCACACCAAGGAGTACTTCCCAGGACTTCTGCTGCCAGTGTCCTTGTCCTCACGGTGAGACACAGCCACCCCCCGCCTCTGCAGGAGATCCTCTGACACTAGCAGATCGAGATAGCCTCATCCACCAGAGCGCAGACAGCAGAAGCAAGAAGAACTACAATCCTGCAGCCTGTGGAACAAAAACCACATTCACAGAAAGACAGACAAGATGAAAAAGCAGAGGGCAATGTATCAGATTAAGGAACAAGATAAAACCCCGGAAAAACAACTAAATGAAGTGGAGATAGGCAACCTTCCAGAAAAAGAATTCAGAATAATGATAGTGAAGATGATCCAGGACCTTGGAAAAAGAATGGAAGCAAAGATCGAGAAGATGCAAGAAATGTGTAACAAAGACCTGGAAGAATTAAAGAACAAACAAACAGAGGAACAATACAATAATTGAAATGGAAAATACACTAGAAGGAATCAACAGCAGAATAACTGAGGCAGAAGAACAGATAAGTGACCTGGAAGACGGAATGGTGGAATTCACTGCTGCGGAACAGAATAAAGAAAAAAGAATGAAAAGAAATGAAGACAGCCTAAGAGACCTCTGGGACAACATTAAACACACCAACATTCGCATTACAGGGGTCCCAGAAGGAGAAGCGAGAGAGAAAGGACCCGAGAAAATGTTTGAGGAGATTATAGTCGAAAACTTCCCTAACATGGTTAAGGAAATAGCCACCCAAGTCCGGGAAGCGCAGAGTCCCAGGCAGGATAAACCCAAGGAGAAACACGCCAAGACACACAGTGATCAAATTGGCAAAAATTAAAGACAAAGAAAAATTCTTGAAAGCAGCAAGGGAAAAACGACAAATAACATACAAGGGAACTCCCATAAGGTTAACAGCTGATTTCTCAGCAGAAACTCTACAAGCCAGAAGGGAATGGCACGACATCGTTAAAGTGGTGAAAGGGAAGAAACTACAACCAAGATTACTCTACCCAGCAAGGATCTCACTCAGATTCGATGGAGAAATCAAAAGCTTTACAGAGAAGCAAAAGCTCAGAGAATTCAGCACCACCAAACCAGCTCTACAACAAATGCTAAAGGAACTTCTCTAAGTGGGAAACACAAGAGAAGAAAAGGCCCTACAAAAACAAACCCAAAACAATTAAGAAAATGGTCATAGGAACATACATATCGATAACTACCTTAAACGTGAATGGATTAAATGCTCCAACCAAAAGACACAAGCTTGCTGAATGGATACAAAATCAAGACCCATATATATGCTGTCTACAAGAGACCCACTTCAGACCTAGGGACACATACAGACTGAAAGTGAGAGGATGCAAAAAGATATTCCATGCAAATGGAAATCAAAAGAAAGCTGGAGTAGCAATACTCATACCAGACAAAATAAATCAGATAAAATATATCATTCTTAAAATAAAGAATGTTACAATAGACAAGGAAGGACACTACATAATGATTAAGGGATCAATCCAAGAAGAAGATATAACAATGGTAAATATTTATGCACCCAACATAAGAGCACCTCAATACATAAGGCAAGTACTAACAGCAATAAAAGAGGAAATTGACAGTAGTACAATAATACTGGGGGGCTTTAACACCTCACTTACACCAATGGACTGATCATCCAGACAGAAAATTAACAAGGAAACATAAGCTTTAAATGACACAACAGACCAGATAGATTTAATTGATATTTATAGGACATTCCATCCATAAACAGCAGATTACACTTTCTTCTCAAGTGCGCATGGAACATTCTCCAGGATAGATCACATCTTGGGTCACAAATCAAGCCTCAGTAAATTTAAGAAAATTGAAATCGTATCAAGCATCTTTTCTGACCACAATGCTATGAGATTAGAAATCAATTACAGGGAAAAAAACGTAAAAAACACAAACATATGGAGGCTAAACAATACGTTACTAAATAACCAAGAGATCACTGAAGAAATCAAAGGGGAAATCAAAAAATACCTACAGACAAATGACAATGAAAACACGACAATCCAAAACCTATGGGATGCAGCAAAAGCAGTTCTAAGAGGGAAGTTTATAGCAATACAATCCTACCTCAAGAAACAAGAAAAATCTCAAATAAACAATCTAACCTTACACCTAAAGGACTAGAGAAAGAAGAACAAACAAAACCCAAAGTTAGCAGAAGGAAAGAAATCGTAAAGATCAGAGCAGAAATAAATGAAATAGATACAAAGAAAACAATAGCAAAGATCAATAAAATTAAAAGCTGGTTCTTTGAGAAGATAAACAAAATTGGTAAACCGTTAGCCAGACTGCTCAAGAAAAAGAGGGAGAGGACTCAAATCAATAAGATTAGAAATGAAAAAGGAGAAGTTACAACAGACACCGCAGAAATACAAAGCATCCTAAGAGACTACTACAGGCAACTCTATGCCAACAAAATGGACAACCTGGAAGAAACGGACAAATTCTTAGAAAGGTATAACCTTCCAAGAGTGAACCAGGAAGAAACAGAAAATAGGAACAGACCAATCACAAGTAATGAAATTGAAACTGTGATTAAAAATCTTTCAACAAACAAAAGTCCAGGACCAGATGGCTTCACAGGTGAATCCTATCAAATATTTACAGAAGAGCTTACACCCATCGTTCTCAAAGTCTTCCAAAAAATTGCAGAGGAAGGAACACTCCCAAACTCATTTTATGAGGCCACCATCACCCTGATAGCAAAACCAGACAAAGATACTACAAAAAAAGAAAATTACAGACCAGTATCACTCATGAATATAGATGCAAAAATCCTCAACAAAATACTAGCAAACAGAATCCAACAACACATTAAAAGGATCATACACCATGATCAAGTGGGATTTATCCCAGGGATGCAAGGATTCTTCAATATACACAAATCAATCAATGTGATACACCATATTAACAAATTGAAGAAAAACCATATGACCATCTCATTAGATGCAGAAAAAGCTTTCGACAAAATTCAACACCCATTTATGATTAAAAACTCTCCAGAAAGTGGGCATAGAGGGAAACTACCACAACATAATAAAGGCCATATACAACAAACCCACAGCAAACATTATTCTCAATGGTGAAAAACTTAAAGCATTTCCTCTAAGATCAGGAACAAGACAAGGATGTCCACTCTCACCACTATTATTCAACATAGTTTTGGAAGTCCTAGCCACGGCAATCAGAGAAGAAAAAGAAATAAAAGGAATACAAATTGGAAAAGAAGAAGTAAAACTGTCACTGTTTGCAGATGACATGATACTATACATAGAGAATCCTAAAGATGCCACCAGAAAACTACTAGAGCTAATCAATGAACTTGGTAAAGTTGCAGGATACAAAATTAATGCACAGAAATCTCTTGCATTCCTATACACTAATGATGAAAAATCTGCAAGAGAAATTAAGGAAACACTCCCATCTACCATTGCAACAAAAAGAATAAAATACCTAGGAATAAACCTACCTAGGGAGACAAAAGATCTGTATGCAGAAAAGTATAAGACACTGATAAAAGAGATTAAAGATATACAAACAGATAGAGATATATACCATGTTCCTGGATTGGAAGAATCAACATTGTGAAAATGACTATACTGCCCAAAGCAATCTACAGATTCAATGCAATCCCTATCAAATTACCAATGGCATTTTTTACAGAACTAGCACAAAAAGTCTTAAAATTTGTATGGAGACACAAAAGACCCCGAACAGCCAAAGCGGTCTTGAAGGAAAAAAACGGACCTAGAGGAATCAGACTCCCTGACTTCAGACTATACTACAAAGCTACAGTAATCAAGACAATATGGTACTGGCACAAAAACAGAAATATAGATCAATGGAACAGGACAGAAAGCCCAGAGATAAACCCACGCACCTATGGTCAACTAATCTATGACAAAGGAGGCAAGGATATACAATGGAGAAAAGACAGTCTCTTCAATAAGTGGTGCTGGGAAAACTGGACAGCGACATGTAAAAGAATGAAATTAGAACACTCCCTAACACTATACACAAAAATAAACTCAAAATGGATTAAGACTTAAATGTAAGACCGGAAGCTGTAAAACTCTTAGAGGAAAACATAGGAAAAACACTCTTTGACATAATCACAGCAAGATCTTTTTTGATCCACCTCCTAGAGTAATGGAAATAAAAACAAAAATAAACAAATGGGACCTAATGAAACTTAAAAGCTTTTGCACAGCAAAGGAAACTACAAACAAGATGAAAAGACAACCCTCAGAATGGGAGAAAATATTTGCAAACAAATCAATGGATAAAGGATTAATCTCCAAAATATATAAACAGCTCATGCAGCTCAGTATTAAAAAAACAAACAACCCAATCCAAAAATGGGCAGAAGACCTAAACAGACATTTCTCCAAAGAAGACATACAGATGGCCAAGAAGCACATGAAAAGCTGCTCAACATCACTAATTATTAGAGAAATGCAAGTCAAAACTACAATGAGATATCACCTCACACCAGTTAGAATGGGCATCATCAGAAAATCTACAAACAACAAATGCTGGAGAGGGTGTGCAGAAAAGGGAACCCTCTTGCACTGTTGGTGGGAATGTAAATTGACAGAGCCACTATGGAGAACAGTATGGAGGTTCCTTAAAAAACTAAAAATAGAATTACCATATGACTCAGCAATCCCACTACTGGGCATATACCCAGAGAAAAACATAATTCAAAAAGACACGTGGGGCTTCCCTGGTGGCGCAGTGGTTGGGGGTCCGCCTGCCGATGCAGGGGACGCGGGTTCATGCCCCGGTCCGGGAGGATCCCACATGCCGCGGAGCGGCTGGGCCCGTGAGCCACAGCCGCTAAGCCCGCGCGTCCGGAGCCTGTGACACGTGCACCCCAATGTTCATTGCAGCACTATTTACAATAGCCAGGACATGGAAGCAACCTAAGTGTCCATCGACAGATGAATGGATAAAGAAGATGTGGTACATCTATACAATGGAACATTACTCAGCTATAAAAAGGAATGAAATTGGGTCATTTGTAGTGATGTGGATGGATCCAAAGACTGTCATACAGAATGAAGTAAGTCAGAAAGAGAAAAACAAATATATTAACCCATATATGTGGAACCTAGAAAAACGGTACAGATGAACCCGTTTGCAGGGCAGAAATTGAGACATGGATGTAGAGAACAAACGTATGGACACCAAGGGGGGAAAGTGGTGGTGGTGGTGGGGGGGGGTGATGAATTGGGCGATTGGGATTGACATGTATACACTGATATGTATAAAATGGATGACTAACAAGAACCTGCTGTATAAAAAAATAAAATTCAAAAATTCAAATAAATAAACAAAAATATAGATCAGTGGCTTTCAAACCGCAAGAAGCATATTTTACTCAGAGTACATGTATGTGTGTTTGTGTAAGCAACTGAAACAAAAGTTTTACCAAACAATATCTTTCTTATAGTTTCATTAAAAAAAAAAAAGTTAACATCACTAAGAAAATTTGAGCTAGCTTAAAGCATGGGCCACCGTTAAGGGACAAGGCCCAAAGACATGACTGAGCAGCAGCAGGTCTGAACAAGAGCTGGAGGGTCAGCTGGGTTAAGGAGACAGAGAAAGGCTGTAGCAGAGCCCTTCACACTCATCAAGGACTCAGATCCCTGCCAGGATTGCATGTTTCTCGTGTGGGAGACCTACAGTTTAAGCCCCAATTGCCAGCTCCACAGCAAACATAAAGATGCTGGAATGCGGTACAGGATACACTGATAAGGTCCCCTTCCTGCAAGAAACCTCTCATGGCCAGCTCGTCTTCTGCAGACCTTCTCCTCTGAAATACACAAAGAGATGGAAGTCAGATCCTAAAGGAAGCTCTCTCTCCATCCATCTCTTCTCTTTCACTTCCTCCCGAGATCTCTGAAGGCAGCCACAATGTTCACACACCAGAGTAGGTGACCTGTACCACTGAAGGAAGACAAAGCGACAACCACTACTTTCTGTCTTACAGACTTTCCCACGGCTCCTCTTCTCCTGCCTCTGAATAATATTCAAACTCCTTACGTGACATTCAAAACCCTCCCAATCTAGACCAGGCCCCTTTTCCGCGCTTACCTTCTGTGGCGGCCCTCCACGCTCCAGCAGAACCAGACTACCTCCAGCTTGACTGTATCTTTGCTCACACATTTCCCTTTATCTCAGATTCCCTGAACTCATCATTAAAATTCTACCCATCCTTCAAGGATCAACTCCAACACTCATCTTTCCTATGAGCTTCTCTCCGGGAACTTAATCACTCCTTTTGTACAATCACACGCTTGTTTATTCTTGGACTGCCGGGTATTCAGACCAGTTATCTCACATCCCCTGCTGGTCTAAGCTCTTTCAGGAACTCAGTCGTGCCTCCTGGATCTTGGCATTCTCCAGAGAGCCTAGCACAGTGAGCCTCTCTATAGATAGATGCCGGCCTGAAGGTGAAGCTGAACCACTGCATTTTATAAAAGGAGGCAGCTTAGGTCCTGTGGTTGTCTGGAATAATCAAATGCCACTCAATTCATGAAAAGCTAATCTAAACACAACTTTTCAAGGAACGCTTTCACTGAGCAAAGCTGGTACACCCAGAGGAGGAAAATTATTAGCACCAGGCATCTGAGAGCTTCTCTCAACTCTCTTTTGGGATCGCTCCCCATGGACATTCCAGATCCTACCGTATACCAGTTGCTTGCCTGGGCCAAGTGAAAAGCCTATGTGTACATCAAGGCAGCAAACTTCACAGCAGACAAACAGGAGTAAAAGTGGCAACCTCAGGGTGAAGCAGAGCTCTCTGGTGGAGCAAAGGGCCCCAGAGCTCTCGCCAGCGAACGACACAGCGCCAGCCGGAGACCCTTACCAGCTCCCCTCCGGGAAGGTTCATGGATGAGAGAAGCAAGACTGAATCCAGCCTGGAGTTGGTCTCCACCTTCCACCTCTTCTGTTGCACCTACGAACAAAGAAACCCCACACCTGGACACATACGCCAGGGGCCAGAGCTCACACTGGAAATGACCAATAATTCCAAATGTAACGAACTGTTTACGTCAAAGGTCACATGAGAGCCAAACCCCACGGATGCCTAGTTCGCATAAATGCATGTAGAATGACTATGCTGTTCATTAGATCACCAGCCTGCTTTTACTTTGTAAAAACCAATCAGATAGACTTTACCTCTGTGATTCTCCCTACTACAATGTCTCCCACTTCACCATTATATCTGAAAGATAAAACAGAAGGCCCTCCGTCAGTGAAAAGACTTCATTACAAGACCAAGTTACCATTTGAGATTTCAGTTAAACAGGGGTGAAGGCCTTGATGAGGCACCACATTTAGTAAATTCACATAGTTATGCTGTTTGGACATATTCTCAGGAACCGATAACTTCAAACACCCTGTATGTATAAAGTCTCCATTAACTAACTATTCTTAAACCGTTTATTGCAAATAGTTCATCAAACCTGAAACCCCTATTTTGTTAATTACATGAAAATGAGGGACTTCCCCTGCGGTCCAGTGGTTAAGACTCTGCCTTCCGATGCAGGAGGTGCGGGTTCAATCCCTGGTCGGGGAACTAAGACCCCACATGCCGTGGGGTGTGGCCAAAAACTTAAAACAATAAATAAATAAAAAGAAAATGATAAGCATGGCATCTTTTCTGGCGGGCTCTGGAACACAGGCAGGTTCTGCGTCAGCCAGAGGAGGAGAAAGGAAACTGAGACAGGACGCCGCCCAAACCAGCCTGCTCACTGTACCCCCGCCCACTGGCTGCCTATCTCAGGCCCCTTTGCTAGTTCCTCATCCCAATTCTAATGATGACGCGTCCCATGCCAAAGGCGCAGTCCTCGGACCTCTTCTCTTTTCAGCCCATACGCACTTGGTGAGCTCATCCAGCCTAATGGCTTTAAATACCACTGATGAGTATACCACTCCCCTCAATTCCAGACTCTAGTCAACTGCTGGCTACCCAGCACCTCCATTTACGTGACTAATGGGAATTTGCAAAAGTAACACACCTACAACAAAGCTTTCCAGCAGCCCCCTTCACTCCCCCATAGCAAACTGAAACTCTCCCAGTTGTCACGAGCTCAGGAAATGGCAACTCCACCCCTCCAGTTGCTCAAGCCACAACCCCTGGAGGAACCCTTGATCTCTCTCAATCTCCCGCTCTCTGTCTCTCTCTCTCATGCTCCAGGACAAGTCCAGCAGCAGATCCTACTAGCTCTACCTTTACAATATAGGCAGAAAATAAAAGGCATCCAAATTGGAAAGGAAGAATATCTCTTCTCACAGACATGGTCCTATATATAGAAAATGCCAAAGAATATAAAATCCAACACACTTTCATGACTAAAAAAACACTCAGAACACAAAACATACTCAAAACAGTACGTTAATCCGCCTCCCTAACCCTGTCCCTATCCCCCCGCCTCCCCGGCCACCCACAGCAGCCAGAGTGGTTTTATTAAAACAGAAGTCAGATCATGTCCCTCCTCTGCACCACCTCCTCCAGTGGCTTCCTAGATTACACAAAGTGGAAGTCGAAAATGTTTATTGTGGCTACGAGGCAGACAGACTGCCCACCTCACCTCTCTGCCTGCATCTGCTCCTACCCCACTGGCTTACATTCTGGGGCTAACCTTCATTGAGCCCTTCTAGGTAGGAGGCTCTGTGTATGTACTTTACATGCATTGTTTCAGTGAATTCCAATGAAAATCCTACCAGGTAGGTCATGCTAGGTCTCATTTTGCAGAGGAGGGAACCAAAGTTTGGAGAGGTCAGGAAACATAGAGAAACCTCTAAAGCCCGCGCTTACCTGTAGTCATCTATACCCTTCCTATAGCCATGTTCCCCAAATCCCAGACCTCCAGAATGAAACAGCAGGCCGGGACGGGGGTGTAGGGTATGTCGTGGCAGAAAAGACCTGGCTGTGCAACTCGGATGCCACAGAGAATACACACCTTTTGTTCTCACCTGGTTTTCAAAGCTTTCACACAGACCAACTTGTTTACTCTCTCCACAGAGCCAGCCACAGATGCAATGAGCTTCTCTTCCCCCATATAGGTCCCATGGCCCCTGTTGCAACAGGAAGATACAAATACCAGGGTAACACTTGAGGTGACCTCTCGCATCAAGACCAACGTGTTCCTCAAACCTAACAGACTCCTCCTGCCTTAAAGGCAGGCTTTTGCCCTGGTTGCCATCTCTTCCTAAAACACTCCTTCTTTAGACAGCTACATGGACATCTCCCTCATTCTACTCAAGTCTACTCAAATGTCACTTTCTCCACCAGGCCTTCCTCGACTATCCCATTTATGATAGTCACCCCCCGCCCTGCTGCTGCCACCACTACCATATCCCAACTATGCTCCACTCACCCTGCTTGGCTTTTAATTTTTTTCTATTGCATTTATCGCCAAACATTCTGAATAACGTATTTGCTTGTTGTGCTTACTGTTTGTTATCTGTCTCTCCCAAATAGAAAATAAACTTCACCAGGACATTGATTTCCACTTTGTTCACTATTGTACCCCAAGCACACATATACTGAATGCATGAATAAAGGACTGAATCTTAAGATTTCCTGGGATCCAACAACCCCAAACTAAGACGTTAAAGGGCAACGGTATAAATGCTGTACCTCTCCTGTATGTACAAGTGTACCACCCCCCCCAAAAAAGGCTGAGATAACCACTAGTGTTTCTCTATGATGGTGACAGAACGGTGAGTTTTGCTTCTTTTCGTAATCATTACCTAATTTAATCCTCACAACCTTATCGAATAGTTAATGTTATTATCACTAGTTTACAGATGAGGAAACTGACCTCGGAGAGACACAGTACAGCCAATAATATTGTGATGGCAGCAGGACTCGAACTCCAGCTGTCCAACTCAAGAGCCTGTCCTCTTAACGACAACAATATGGTACTGCCCTCAGATTCAAAGGTGGATATTCGAACAATGTATTTGTACGCCCTAAGCCCAAACAATGACTCGTTCCAAAACCGTAACCCCTGGCTAGGAGACGACACTGAGGGATAAAGGGCCCAAGTCGAAAACGCCCACCGTCTCCCCGCCGAAAACTGTTAAGAGGCCCCAGCTCCTAACCCACCCCAGTCTTCCAAGTCCTCAACGAGGAAGGCTCGGGATCTGGGCCTCAGGCAGAGGACCCACGAGTCGCGGCCACCAGAGGTCAAGAGAGGAAGGTTTCGGGAGACTGGGACAAATGCAGACAAGGACACACAAGATGCAGGGGGTAAGAAGTCCGAAGCCTAGAAAACTAGGCGACTGAGATGCTCAGCAGATGTGTCCCGGGTACCACGGGAACTTAGATGCAAGAGAGCACAGGCCCGGGTTTCACGTGGAGAGCAATGTAGCCGCCCCTTGTGGCCCAGAGTCCCCCACGTCCCCACGTACCGCATGAAGCCTGTGTCCGTGGTGATCGTGTCCCCCGGCACTACCAGGTGTTTTTTCGTCTCACGGCCCAGGCTCTCGCTAAGAGGCTTGCGAGCGACGGGAAGCCTCATCTCCATCGCCATCTTGACGCTAATAACCTGCGCAGGCGCAGCCCGACTCGGAGTCGCAATATCCGCCTCCGCAATTCCCGTCCTTCGCTCTTAGGGGCGGGGCAGGGCGGGGCCTCAGAGCAGCCGCCAATGGGAACTCACGGTCTGGCTGCCATATTGACTATTGTCAACCATTAGGTTAACATGAAGGGAAGGAAGGAGTCGAGTTGCCATTTTTATTATTGGCAAGGCTGCCTTTGTGGAGTAATAAAAATCTCAATTTGTATGATGTATTGACTTTTCACCAAAACTCTCCTGTACTCGTCATCCCAGTTATTGTTTTACAGGGTTAGAGATAATTGAGAAATGGGCCTCAGAGTTTCCTCTCAACTCGAAGCTGCTAAAATCTAATTTTGGGAGGACTTCCCTGGTGGCACGGTGGTTAAGAATCCACTTGCCTAATGCAGGGGGACGCAGGTTTGAGCCCTCGTCCTGGAAGATCCCACATGCCGCAGAGCAACTAAGCCCATGTGTCACGACTACTGAGCCCGTGTGTTGCAATTACTGAAGCCCGTGAACCTAAAGCCTGTGCTCCAGCAACAAAGAGAAGCCCCTGCAAGGAGAAGCCCACGCACAGCAATGAAGCTTGTTGCAATTAGAGAAAGCCCGCGGGCAGCAACGGAGACCCAACAAGGCCAAAAATAAATAAATAAATAAATTTTTTTAAAGTCCTTATCTTTAAACGAGGACCCAACGCGGGTCTTAAATAAATTAATTAATTTTTAAGAAGTCCTTATCTTAAAAAAAAAAAGTCTAAATTTTTGGGTATGAGATTGCCCAGAGGATCAGGAGGTGGGATATACAGAAAACACCATTTGGACAGAGAGAAGAGCCCCTTTTCGCGGTTACTAGTGGCCCCTGTGTTCTACATACTGCTGCCTCGTGGGCGCTGGTTCAGCACCAACCATCACCTACACCCGCAAACAACGTTCCAGGTGCTGTTTCCATTCTTTCTTAAGTGAGCCGATTGCCCTAGTATTTCTTTTGAAAGAACAAGGAACCATCTAAGAGGACATTCAAACCTTGCCAGAAGGGTGTATTTGGCAGGGAGGACAAATGCACACATAATACGTGATGAACAGATAGATGGATGTGTGGCTTTATCTCTGGGCCAGGAGCATTTCCCTCGTTTCTCTCCCTGCTTCCCACTACCCTCTCCCTCACCTTTCCCCTGCATGGTTTACAGCATCCACAACAGACTGAGTTTCAACCTCAGGGAACTGGAGATGATAATTCTTCATGCACAGAGACTCTAAAGAGGATTCAATGAAATAACTTGTGTCAGCACCACACATTGAGCCCAGTAAATCAGGTCTGCTGCCTCCTGAAGGTCCAACAGACCAATAGATTGATAAATCTCCAAAAGACAGCATTTCTTTCACCTAAGCATGGCTCACAAACTACACTTGTCAAGAAAGCCAACCCTGTGAGACAGTCAATGATACAAATTCTAATGCCCCACAGGTCATGGGTAAGTGGACAGGCCAGACGCTTGCCCTCCTCCTTGCCTGGAGGAAGGGGCTAGAGCCAAGAAAGCGTGAGAAGGGTCCATATGTGGAGTCTGGCCTCAGCCAGAAGAGGGCGGTGCCGTCCTTTGAACCAGCATAGCTCAGTCCGCTAGGCAGCTAGGCCTGGGAGTGCCCCTAGACCAAGGCTGGGGTATATATAGTCTTGACATCATTCAGTTGCAAGGAGGGATGGACATAACGTTAACCCCTCCCATTCTCACAGCACTTACATTTAGGGAGCTTGTCACAACGTTGAGATTATGGATCTGTCTTAGTGTAGTGGCAGATTCAGTGTCTGGTGAGAGCTCACTTCCTGGTTCAGATAGCTGTCTTCTCCCTGTGTCCCCACATGGTGGGCGGGGCTGGGGACTCTCTGGGGTCTCTTTTATAAGGCACTAATCCAATTTATGGAGGCTCCACCCTCATGATGTAATCACCTCCCAAAGGTCCCACCTCCTACTACCATCATCTTGGGGTTAGGATTTCAATATATGAACTTGGAGGGGGGGGACATAACCATTCAGTCCATAGTAGGTACCTTTTTAAAGAGGAGGAAACCGAGGCCCAAAAAGGACTAGAATTCATACAGCAGTTGGTAGCAGGGCCATGTTCCTTCAGACTGCACCTGCTTTACCCTAGAGCCCGCACGTCCTGAGGGACGGGTCCTTTGCTGAATGCTTTACAAACATTACGTTATTAATTCCTTATACTCAGCGCATCTTGGACGTAGGCATTGCTATCCTCGATGGACGTTTGGGGCCACTGAGTGCACGTCCTTAAGGGGCTTGTTAGAAATACAGATTCCTGAGCCCAGATTTAGGCACTGGGGCTCTGCAAAGTGGGATCTAGAAGTCTGTGAGGGTGTGTCTTAACTCCCAGTGTGATTTTAATTGCTGATCAGGTCTAACATTCACCACTTCTTCCCATATCCTTCTACCTCCCCATCTGTGCATGTCCAGGGCCATCTCCCCAAGCCGATCAATGTCATCTCTCACCTGGGCATCACCACCTAACTCAGCTCCCTAATTCTGTGTTTGCCCCTCCTACCACCTAATTTCCATACAGCAGCCAGAGGGAGCTGAACTTATCTACGAAACAGAAACAAACCCACAGACATAGAGAACAGACTCCTGGCTGCCAAGGGGGAGGGAGAGTAGGAGAAGGCTGGGCTGAGAGTTGGGGATTAGCAGATGCAAACTATTATATATAGAATGGATAAACAACAAGGTCACGCTGTATAGCACAGGGAACTACATTCAATATCCTGTAATAAACCATAATGGTAAAGAATAAAAATTAATAAATAAGTCTTTTAGGATACTCATAAATAAATAAATAAATAAATAAAAACAGATCAGATTAAACCACTTCCTTGCTTAGAACACTTCTGGCAGCTTCCCTGTACACAAGAATGAAATCCAAACTCGCATTTGCCTGGCTCTGCCCATCTCTGACCTAACCTGCGCTATTACTCACTACAGTCGCTGCAGCCAGAGGCGCTGGCCTCAAGACCTGCGTGCTTTTGGTGCTCTCTGCATGGAATGCTCTTCTCCCTGTCTTTGTGTAGCTGGCTGCTCTTCCTCACTTAGATCTCTGCTCAGATATCACCTCCTCAGAGAGGCCTTCCCTGATTACCTTATCTGGAATAATCCTCAGTCCCTCTTTTACCACTTGATCCTGTTTTATTTCTTGTCACTGAATTTTCTTATTTGTTTTTTTTTGTTTGTTTGTTTATTGCAGTCTTCCTCCACTAGAATGGGAATACTCTGAGAATAGGGCCGTTATCTATTTTGTTCATCTGGTACCTAGAGGGCAACCATAAAACATTTGTTGAAAAAATGACATATATTTACAAAATATTTACTCACCATGTATCTTCCCCACAGGGTATAAGCCCTGCAAATGCCCAGACTTTTTGTTCACTGTCCAGCACTGTCTGGGTACAGAGCAGGCCCTTTTATTAACCATATCTTCGATGGTAGTCTGATGTTTGGACATTTTGGGGCCTCCCAAAGCCTGGAAGGACTGCCCCTTCCAGGGTTAGCTGATTCCTAGAAATGGTAAACAACTGGCCCAGGAGTGTGTCTTCTGAATGCAAACCAATCAATCCAGAGCCCATGCCCCCTACCACCTCTTTTACGGGGCTCTTAGACTCTGGACCCCTGTGCACCTGCCCTAAACCCCCGAGGGCCCCGTACCAGACAACTAGGGACAGGCCCTGTGCCTCAGAGCCTACTGAAATTATTCAAACCAGCCAATCCTAAACCTGCTTCCCCTGCTTCCCCTGGTCCTTCCTTTTGGAAACCCTAGCAAAGGCTCTTTCCCACATTTTCTCCTCATTCCCGCTGCCTTCTGATCGGCCCCCCATGTGGCTCTGCGTGGTGTGCCATGCCTCCTGTTTCTAGGCAAAATCTTAAGTATGATGAACTTCTCCCTTCAGGACAGTCATTTCCATGTTTGCATGTCTTACCATACTTGATTAAAACAAATCCCGGGTACCCTTAGAGCAGCACTCAATAAATATTTGCAGAACGAATGAATAAACTTATTCGGCAAGCATTTCTGGAGCATTTTCTGCCCCAGGCATCAAGGTGCTCGGTCAGGAGCTCAGGGATGGGGTGGGGGGCGGGGAGGGGAGGACAGAAAAGGCCTCCTGACAGCAGCGGCATATGAGTGAGCCTTGAAGGAAAGGAACTATTGACACTGGGGAGTGGGTTGAGAGGGACAGATGAACTTCAAGTGAAAGTAAACAACAAGGAAATCTTGAAAAGTGTGAAAAGAGAGGCAGCAGGAGCCCTCTGGCCCTGAGCTCTTGCCCAATCCTGATCTACCCACTGGCTTCACCTTGTGTTCCATGAAATGGTAAAAGTAACAGCAGAAGTTTTCTCTTTTGTTTGTTTGTTTGTTTGTTTTTTTGGCCGTGCCATGCACCTTGTGGGATCTTAGTTCCTCAACTGGAGATCGAACCCGTGCCCCTGGCAGTGGAAGCATGGAGTCCTAACCACTGGGCAGCCAGGGAATTCCCTTTTTTTTTTCTTCAGAAAATTTCTATTCAGAGATGTGCACAAAGATTTCTGCCCAAGGATCCTCATCGAAGTATTGCCTTCTCCTGAAAACATAGAAATAGCCTTGATGTCTGTGGCAGTTTTTATACATGTCCACAGAATTTTTGCTAAGTCTTCAATTAAGAAGTGCAGTCAGTGCCTCCTCGTCTTGCATCTGGGCAGGCTTGTGACTGCTTCGATAGCTAGCGCATGTCAGAAGTGCCTCTACGGGACTCCAAGGACTGGTCAGGATAGACCATGCAGCTTCCACCTGGTTCTCCTGCAACACCTGCCTGAGACAACATGCACGAAGTGCCCTGAGACAACATGCACGAAGCCCTGAGACAACATGCACGAAGTCTGACTTCCCTGAGGTAGCCATGTTGCAGGAAACAGTCAGGATGGGTGCTAACCAGCCACCATCCATAACCTTTCCCACTCCTCACGGCCACACATCCCAGCAGACCAGATCCAAGGTGGGAAGGAAGCTGAAAGCTTAGGATATCTGTTCTTCCATTTCAAGAGATCTGAGGATAATGGCTATAGGAAAGGGCAGGAGAAGAGGAGATGGACAGCTGCCTTAGATGCCCTCTGGGGGACGTCCAGTGAGGTAGGTGGTCCTTCTTACCCACCAAAGGCATCCATATGCTAACAACAGCTCCCATTTATTGAGCACTTACTATGTGCCAGATACCAAGCCATGTGCTTTATTCATTTATTTATATTATCCCACTTAATCCTCACAATATCCTGAGGAGCTAAGTATCACCCCATTTTTCATTTGAGGAACTTGAGACACAGAGCCATTATTTGACTTGCCCAAGGTCACACAGCTAGTGAATGGCCGAGCAGGGTTTCAAACACAGACCAGTGGCCTCTATCTAGAATCCTGTACACCTGGAGGTCCTGAACCATGCAATAAAAAAGGCATAAAAGGCATCTTGATTGAAAAGGAAGAAATAAAACTGCCTTTATTCACAGACAACATGATCATGTACATAGAAGTCCTAAGGAATCTACCCCAAAAAGCTACGAGAATGAATAAGTGAGTTTTGCAAGGTTGAAATATACAAGGACAATTTACAGTGCTGGTCTACACTGCATCCCTATGGGATACGCAGCAAGCCCTTCTGGCCGAATCTGCAGGCTGACTGGGAGGTGGTGTGGCCTGCTGGTCATGAGCATGGCTTCTAAGGTCAGTTGCCATGGTGAAACCTGCTCTGCCACGCACTGGCTGAGGGACACGGGCAAATGACTTCCTCTCTGCCACAGTTTTCTCATACTTCAAATGGACTTTAATAGAGCAGGGGGGAGAAACAAGAAAAAAGAGTACCAAGCTCATCGGTTCACAGGGAGGATTCCTGGAAAGCATGCATGTAAATCTCTAAACCCCAAAATGACTGGCTGTGTTTGCATGCCTTTGTGGGGAGGAGGGGGCGTGCACTCTTGGGAAAGGGGCCCGAAGCCTCTTCTGGAAATGGGAGCAAGGTAGATTAGGCTTTGAGTACCAGGCCTCCCACCAACGTGCGATTCTTCAGAATGATGATTCCTATCTGCTCATCCTAGCATCTCCAGCGCCAGCACACTTCTGGAGGAGAAAACAGGTCAGCAGCCAGCAGAGCACATGCACTTTCGTCTGCAATTACAGCCTTCTGTCACCAGGTGGGTTCTGGAGCCCGCGCTGCGGCCCTGTGAACAGCAGCTGAAACTTCACAGAGTTACCTACAGAGAGCGATTTGGATTTTTGATCAAGGGTCCCACTGACTTCTCTGAAGTCTGACACCTGCACTGCAGTGAGAGAAGGGTAAGGCCAGGGGCCACCAGAGGCATCGGAAGCCTCATGGTGAGAAATCAAAGGAGAGGCAAGATTTGTAATGGGAAGAGGGGTAGTACCAAGGGTGACATCCCCCACTAGCCCAAGGAGGAAATCCCCTAGATGGGACCTACCAGTGAACACATCAAGGGTACATCTCTGCCTGTGCCCCTATCTTCCAGGGTTTAAGACCAGTCCCCCAAAGTATGTGGTCTTTGGGAATACCTGAAGCTCCAAATGGGGATGGTCTGTGTGTACAAGTGTGAATTCCAGTGTCTTCAGGTGTTTGTGTGTGTGTGTGTGTGTGTGTGTACAGCTAGATGAGGGTGCACAGAGAGGTGTGCCTGAGGGATGCCAGTGGGTTGGAAGGGTGACAGCCTCAGAGCCTTACATGCCAGAGCACAGGTGAGAACTCACACTTCCCAGTTTGTACACCTCCTTCTGGTCAGGAGGTCCTGGAGAGGAGAGGCAGGGCCTGGCCCTACACTGATGGCCTCCTTGCTCTTTGGTCTTCCTCAAGGAGGGTCTGGAAATGGGTGCCCAGAGCATTTGGAAATTCTAGGCTTTGGGAGTGCACTTGGCGTCCAGCTTGGTCCACCCACACTGGCTGCTTAGATTCCTCAAGTTGTCCATGAAAATAAAAAAAAAAAAAGTAAGCAAAGATTTGGGGGCAGTAACAAAGCAAGACACTGATATTTGAGAGTCAGCTGGAAACCACGAGGAATCTGCCAGTCCCTTGGGAGATTTCTGATTTCTCTGTGCTGTGGTCATCTCTCTGGGAGCTGACCCCAGCTGTGACAAAGGTGACTTTCAAAACCAGTAAGTGGAGCTTCCCTGGTGGCGCAGTGGTTGAGAGTCCGCCTTCCGATGCAGCGTACACGGGTTCGTGCCCCGGGCAAGGAAGATCCCACATGCCGCGGAGCGGCTGGGCCCGTGAGCCATGGCCGCTGAGCCTGCGCGTCTGGAGCCTGTGCTCCGCAACGGAAGAGGCCTCAACAGTGAGAGGCCCGCGTACCGCGAACAAACAAACAAAAAACCAGTAAGTGGAACAACTCTTCCTGCCCCCTCTCCAACTTCTAGACATTTTTCCTTTTCCTTTTCCATATTTATTTCATTTTCACGCAGACAAAAGCGTCAACCCATTCAGATGCTAAGTGATAAATGTTCCAAGTAATTTTTATTTTAGAATACAAGAGAGGTACAAATGTATTTACAGTTGTACATATACAATCAAATAATATATATCACAGTTTCGTAAATATCATTTTAGATAAATATTTACAAAGTTAAAGTGACCATTTTCTGGAAGTAGAACACAAGTTTTTGAAAATTCTATACATTTTGTACTTTTCATTAATATTATTATAGTTTATTTTACAAAACGCCCTACGGGAATTCTAGTAAATGACTGCAAGGTGGGAAAGGCGACACCAGAGGGCGCCCACGGTCGGAGCTTGGGGAAACTTGGGACAGAGCAAGGGCGGAACCTCCCGGGATCCCGCACAGCTCGGAGATGCTTTCCGGGCTGAGAAGCCAGTCTTGGCCTCCTCGGGTCGGAGAGTGGCGAGAAGGGGCGGGAAACTTCCTCTTTCCAAGCTTGATGTCAGAGCTGAAGGGGAGGAGGCATTGGTCCAACTCTCTCATTTTACAGATGGGGAAAGGGTAAACGGAGGCCCAAAGAAGGGCAGGCCTTTCCCGGGGTCCCCATAGTGGATTTCCGTTTTGCCTTCATTCTCAGCCTACCTGGCACATTTGTGCCTCGTCCATCCCCAAGGAGCCGACTTTCGGGGGAAGGTGGCCCGAAGGAGAGAAGGGCCCGCTTGGCAGGGAAGGGCAGGTCTCTCCGGCCTCTTCTGGCTGCCCCTGAACCCCTTCAGTCCCCAGCTCGCAAGGTCGCGTCCTTGAGTCCTGACATTGCAAGATACCAGTCTCAGGGGCGGGAGGAGGACACAGATGCGCGTAGTGTCCGGGCCTGCTGCCCACACTGGGACAGGGAGCTCCATCCCAACACGCAGCTCTCTGTGGGGGTGGTGAGGGCCCCCTTTCCCCGCTGAGGGCCCTCGGAGACTTTCGGTCCCCTCTCCTGGCACCCACCAGGGGGCTATCAGCCTGGGCAGCCGACTCCACAAGAGAAGGGAGACTCAGGGGTGAGGCCGAGCATGGGGATCCCCTGAAGAGGAGGCGGCCGAGCAGCTGCACCAGCTGCGCGGCCCGCGAAAAGGACGTCGCCCCCCAGTGTCCTCATCTGCGAAACGGGGCGAAGAGTGTATGCCTGGGCGTCATCTCTGGGGCGCACCTAGAGCGCCGGGTCCGGCGGCCGCGTGCCGCAGGGAGTGCGAGTCGGGAGGGAGAGCAGCCCCGCCGCGCGCCCCCGCGGGCTGGCCGGCGGAGGCGCGCGCGGGCGGGAGCGGGCGCGCCGCGGCGCTCACAGCACCATGGCCGGCAGGGGGTGCGCGGCGGCGGCGGCGGCGGCGGCGGCGAGCGCGGGCGCGTGCGCGTGCGGCGCGGGCAGCGCGGGCGAGTGGGCCTGCAGCGCGGCGCTGGGCGGCCGGTGGCGCGCGCTCTTCTGGTGGGCGCGCAGGCCGGCCAGCTGCGAGTAGGCGCTCTGGCACACCTGGCACTTGTAGGGGCGCTCGCCCGTGTGCAGGCGCACGTGGTTGCGCAACGTGGACGACTGGCTGAAGCGGCGGTTGCAGAAGCGGCACACGAAGGGCTTGTCCAGCGTGTGGATGCGCATGTGCGAGCGCAGGTTGCATGGCCGGCAGGTGGTGCGCGGCGGCGGCGGCGGCGGCGGCGGCGAGCGCGGGCGCGTGCGCGTGCGGCGCGGGCAGCGCGGGCGAGTGGGCCTGCAGCGCGGCGCTGGGCGGCCGGTGGCGCGCGCTCTTCTGGTGGGCGCGCAGGCCGGCCAGCTGCGAGTAGGCGCTCTGGCACACCTGGCACTTGTAGGGGCGCTCGCCCGTGTGCAGGCGCACGTGGTTGCGCAACGTGGACGACTGGCTGAAGCGGCGGTTGCAGAAGCGGCACACGAAGGGCTTGTCCAGCGTGTGGATGCGCATGTGCGAGCGCAGGTTGCTGCGCGAGTTGAAGCCGCGGTGGCAGATGACGCAGCGCATGCGGCCCGAGGTGCCAGCCGCCGGGTCCGCCGGGTGGAAGTCCTCTGGCCGCGCGGGCGGGGCCCGGGGGGGGGTCAGGCGGGGAGGAGGAGAGAGAGAGCAGCCTCGTTAGAACCCGCGCGGCCGCGGCCTGGTCTCCCTGTACCCCTCCCCCACGTGCGCCCCTCGCAGGGCCCAACCGCCTCCGATCGTCGGTGGCCACTGCGCAGATTGCTGGCGCTGGCAGATGGGTGGTAGCGGCAGCAAGAGACCTGGCCTGGGATCAAATAGTAGCTGGACTCCAGACCATGCTGCGAGATCTCAGGGACTTAGTGACTTAGCTTCGGGAAACCTCAACTTTTTCATCCGTAAAGTGGGAAGCTACTACGACCTCACGGGGCTCTGCACGACTACACGAGATGATCACAGAAAACTGACGTCTTTGAAGATTACTCTGTATTGATCACTTTGCCTGCCTGAGGCCGGATACGGGGAAGTACCAGGTTTGTAGTAACCTTCCGTCAATGGTAGTCACTGTTATAACTCCTCCTCTCCCCCCAAAACCTTTCATTTATTCATCCCACAAATATTTACTGAATGCCAACTATGTACCAGTGAACTGCACCTCACTTTTCTCATCCCTGAAATGGAAGTAATAATAGCATCACGCCCAAAAGGTTGCTGTAAGGATCAGAGAAATGGTTTGTGAAACATTAGCTGCACAGCAAGTGCTGGATAAACAGTAGCTCCTGAGCCTCAGGTTCATCCTCTAAAAATAAGGATAACCACATATCACAAGGGTTTTATGAGGACCCATGTGGGATGACACCTGTAGAAGGTTTAGCCCAGTACTTGGCAGGAAATAGGTCTTGAGCAAATGGTCTCTACCGTGATAATCAGCGCCCCACCCCACCCCGCTACAGCACACACACAGGCACACACTGCTCTGCCTTCATTCAACAGGTTTATACTGAGCACCTACTCTGGGCCAGGCTCAGCCCCAGGAACAGGGCAGGGAAATGTGGACTGAAAGCTGGAAGGGAGCTTAGAGATCATCTCGCCCAACATCCTTCCTTTACAGGTGGGTAAACTGAGCCATTTCCTAAGATTGCACAGCAGAACTGGGACTCAATCCAGTCTCCTACTGCCTGGCCCGTTGCTTCTCCACCACACGCTGCTGCTGCTGCCTCCACCCGGTCTGCCTCCAGACAGTCCGTCTTGTCCAAAATCAGAACTGTCTTCCATCTATGCCTGGACCATGGCAGCGGCTCCAGGGGCATTGGCCTCCTTGAACCAGTAAGTCCCATGTGCTTGCTGCTGCTGGACGTGGAACCAGGGTCCCCAGAGGCCAGGAGCCTCCCTGCCAAACACACACACACACTCTCACTATCTCTCTCTGTGGCTTCCGTGGCTCCCTTGTCATTGTGGCCTCATGGGGACTACCTACCATGCTTGTTCTTTTTCTGCTCCTCCCCCAGCCCGGGCACACCAGGGATCCCCAGGAAGGTGTTGTGTGAGTTTCCATACCACACCAGCAGCTCCTGGTCTGGAGGGATCATCTGTAGGGAAGGAGGCAAAAGGAGATCAGGAAGGCAGCAGCCCGGGGGGTGGGGGTTCCCTCACAGCCGGGAGGGGCTGTCCTGGTGCCCACCTTGGAGACTTGGATACAGTCTCAGCCCGAAGAAAGGCACACTTGGGTCCCTTTCCTCCAAGCTATCCCCGGCAAGCTTCACAGACACGGAAGGCCTTGAGTTGCTCTGCCCCTCTGCCCCCCTCTGCCTGGACTTCTCGCTGTCGCTGTCCTGGCTCTGCTGCTGGGACCAGAGCTGTCTCCTGGCCACACAGGAGCTCCCAAACTGACAGCAGTGGAACAGGGACCTTGTCACAAGCAGAAGTAAAGGAAGAAGGAAGAGCTAGAAAACGTTTCATTTCTCTCCGAGGGGAAGCAGAGTCAGCCAGCCCTCGGGTCTGTGGGGCTGAGCCAGACGTTCCCAAGGAGAGTGGCCTGCGGGGCACCCTGTGGTTCTCGGTTACACCCTGGCTGATGATGTTCCGGAAATATCTCTCATCCAGAGCAACCACGAGGCAGCGCCACGTCACATACCCTTCTCTCCCCATCACAGGGCTCTGCCCGACTCCCTGTACGCAGCTAAAAAAGAAGCATTCAGTTCAGTGAACACCTCCACCTCCGGAAATACTGGAGCACACAGCCTTAAACGAGATCCGTTTGCCATGTCCTAGGTCTACGGCAGAGAACTCCACAAATGGTGACAGGGCTCTGCTGCTCCCAGGGGAGGACTGCCCCAGGGACACGGTGCCGGCAGTCAGGAGGGAGGGCTTTGCAGTGACAATCCTGCTCCTGAGGTGAGGCTGACCCCGCCCTCTGGCACAGCCCAGGGGCCCGTCACACCTTTGGTGGAATCACACAGGACTCCGTCTAGGGCTGTCTGAAATCACACCAGAATAGGGCCCTTCTCCTTGGCCTCCATGGCCACAGAGAAAGCCCCCTTCTCTTCCCTTTCGTTCTGGCCTGCAGACCCCCGATCTGCTCGTCACACCTTCCTTCCTCTGGTCAGAGCCAGGAAGAGCTTCAGAGCATCACAGCCAGCCCTGCTGGACCCTGAAAGGAGAGGGAAGCAGAGAGAGGAGGGGGTGGGAGAAGTGAAGCTCCAGGGGGCCTAGACAATGTCCATCCTCCTAAGACTCAGCCAGGGGTCACTGTGCCCCTTCCCAACAGAACCTACAGCCCATGGGGTGTCACATCAAGCCTCAGGGACAGTGAGTGATGAAGAGCCCGGCAGAGGGTGCCACACCAGCTCGGACTGACGGGGTTTAAATATGGAAAAACCAAATGCAGTCCCGGAACCCAAGGAAAATTAGGCAGCGCATCAAAGAAAGCAGGCAGGTTAGAATCTGGCACCACAGCAAGAGTCCTCGAGGCCTCTCTCGTCATTCATAGTCACGGCCGCTGTAAAGGAGGCCAGCGGGGGTCAGAGCTGGAGGCCCTGCTGGAGAAAGGGTGGAGCTGAGAGAGTTTTGTGAACCCCTTAGAAAAGAGGGTGATGGAGCTAAAATATTCAAAATAAATTCACCGTGAAGGAAGCTGCTGAGAGATGGTGCCGGTGGGCCCTCGGTCGCCAGGTCCCTGGGTGACCCTAGGCAAGCACTCTGTCTCTCTAAGCTTGTCTCCTCAAGTGAAGGGGGTGGAGAGCATGATCCCTGAGGCTCCCCCAACTCTAAGACTCTGATTATGTCACCTCTGACATTGTCCCAACCCCTGGCTTCAATTCTCAGACGACACCAGATGTTTATACATCACGGTTCTTCTAAAGCAACCAACCCCTTGTCCAACTGTCTGTACACGCCCCTTCCTCCTGGAGACCGTACTGCTGAGGTTCCTGGCTCAGGCCCTGGGCTCACACACGTCAGGGTCCACTTGGGCTCCCCACCTGCTGAGCGTGTCACTTTGGGCAAGGTGCCTTCTGCCACTGGTCCTCAGTTTCCTCAACTGCAGAACAGGGACGGCCCTTTCTGTAGCCTCACAGGGCGCTTGTCCGGGCTCAACGGGGCCACGCACTTAAAGCTGTTTGTACTATTTTCCGAGAGCTCATCAACCGCTCAGAGAAGCTGGCAGCCATCTCTGGGACATAGGGTCCTTCAGTGACCATCAAGAGCGCAGGCTGGGGACTTCCCTGGCGGTCCAGCGGTGAGGACTCAGCGCTTTCACTGCTGAGGGCCTGGGTTCAATCGCTGGTCGGGGAATTAAGATCCCCCAAGCCGCGCGGCGAGAAAAGCAGCAGCACAGGCTGGGCCCACATGCTCCCAGGACACCAGTGTCCCTCCGGTGCCACCTCTTCCCTGGCCCATCTTCCCCGGGGGGAGGCACAGATGTGGGATGACAGTTTCAGCAAGTCGCCAGTGGGAGCTGCATCTCCACCCCCAGACGTGCAGTCTGGGAATCAAATATCTAAGTCAACACCGGCCTTTTCATTTGAATTGACTAACAATTATTATTAAATATAAAACAGATATAACAGCAACAACAATCATGGTGGTGAATGAGAAGCCAAGAACGAATTCTGAATATTATTATTGAAAGTGGTGGTTGGGAATCATATTTTTAAAAGAAGAGCTTTAATATTGACTGCTGTAACACTGAGTCATGTATTTACTGACACATTTTTCAAATGTACTAAAATTAATTTTACTAGTGCATTTTTAAAATTAAAACAGACACAAAGCAGTATATAAGGAAAAGTAACTCTCTCTCCCACTCAGGGCACCCAGCCACTGTGGCCGGTTTTCTGCGCATCTTTCCTCAGAAGGGTTTGTCGTTCTGAGACCAGTTTTGTTTTTAATGCTGATTTAAGGTGCATGACGAACAGCATGATGGAGCGGAGTGACTTTCATTTTCTACAAGATGCATCTGATTTTTTAAGAATTAATGAGCACATATTACGTTTATACAAAAAAATATTTTTTTAAGAGAGAAAATCTATTAAAAAGAACCTACTAGAATTGAGAATGACACACATCCCCAGACAACAAGAAGCCTCCAGCTGTAAGGCAGTGCTGGGGAAGGCGGCCTCACTCGCACAGAGGCGGGGCACTGGAGTCTCTCTCTGCCCTTCAGAGCTCTGGGAAACCAGCAGCAGCTCCTGGCCTGGACCTCTGGCATCTGCTTGCTCCCAGACACCCCTCATGCAATGACCCCAGAGATGGAGACCAGGAGTGCCAGGGAGACCCACAGTCTCTTCCCTGAGATCTTAGTACCGTTGTCCAGAGGCTGCCAGGGTCCCATCAGCCAGTCACCTAAGAGCAAAGAATGGCCACGGTCCCGTGCAGGCCTCCTCAGTAGCCCTGTTTCTTTATGGCCAACACTCTAGCCTGGCCCAGCCAGGGCTTTCCACGGGGGCTCGGAGAACGAGAATCAGCTGCTCATCTACTTTTCTGGGGATCTGAGACTGGCTCAGGATACACAATAAACACAGCAATTCCCAAAGAAATGAATCCTGTACCATAAAATCCACATCATCAAGACACGGGGTGAAGATCAGCGCCTGACTCCTTGGTTGACAAATTATATAATCTCCCAACTGGTGCCTCTTCACCTTCCCTGTTGGCCCAGAAGTTCTGTCCTGACCCATTTCTGAATTTTTATTATCAGTTGAAAACATTTGGGGGTTTTGGTTTGTTTTCCTAATACAAATTCACGTCACAGTATTGAACATGCTCCCAGGAGGCTCTGATGTCCTCCCGTCCCCCGGTGGTACAGAAGCCCTTGTCTAGAAGGACCTCAGTGTCATCTGGACGAATATCAATTTCCATTGTACCACAGATGTCCCAACACACCAATTAATAGAGTTCCAGCAAATAGATATTGGCCAGGGAGGTCCCACGGCGTGGTGACCAAGGGCTCCACCGTGGGGTCACACAGGTCTGGATTCAAATCACAGCTCAACAATCTCCCAAGATCTCCCTGAACCTTAGTTTCAACGTCATTAAAACAGGGATAGTGATAGCACCAGACTGAGTGGATTTGATTTTTTCAAAGTTGCTAAGACCCTTAGCACCGTGCTGGCACATGGTAACTGCTCCACAGATGGTAGCATCATTAATTATGCTTATTATTAAAAACCAAAGTGCCTAACTGCACCCACCGGTGAGTAAGATCAAAACGAAAATGGTGCTTTGCCCTCATAGAGGTAAGAAAAAGAGAGATGGGGCTATGAAGCTCCAGGGGGAAAAAACCCAAAACAAACCTCAACTGCCTGAAATGAGAAGAAAAGCAGCTGAAAGAAAAAGCCCACACTTCAGGGCACAGTCATTTGCCAAAACCTCAGGAGGGGAAAAGCCTGGGAATTTTCTTCCCAGTTCCAAAATGCAAAATTTTCATAGTTTATTCCTAAATCATTTTCTTGTGTTGAGTTTTGGGGTCAAAGTTCTTGCTTCCCTGGGGAAGCTGGTTTCTTTGCCGGTTTTGTTTTCTTGGGAGAAAAGGGTCCGTGTGTCCATTTTCAACCCAGCCCCCATCACCTAGAGAAAGACTTATTCATTCAACATTTAGTGCCCATTTGCTATGTGCTGGGCACTTTTTAGAAATGTCATTTTAGGCACCTGAGGTTGAAGATAGCGAGGGGAGAGCCTGGGATAACATGTTGGTAGATCCAGCCAGATGCATAAACCCCACCTAGGGATTCTGCACAGACTGGCCGGCCTGGAGACCCATCACCCTCGTCTCCGTTTGGACGGCTGTTAATTTTGTATTTGTGGGAAATTTTAGAGCAGCAGTAGTATATTCTGCTTATTGAATGAAGATGTTTCTTCTCACTTTTTTTTGGCAAGTAATGGGTTACTGTTATGAAATATACACAGTGGTTCTGAGTGACGGAAAGATTAAGAAAACAGGTCATGGCACAGACCCTTCTTGGCTCACACACACGGACAGAACAAACAGCCCACGAATTCGAGAGGCGTCCGGGGAGTGGCCTGGAGCAGCAGAAATTTCTTCTGGACAAGCCCTGCTGCATGGTGGTCACACACACCTGGACACACAGCTAGTCCAGTAAGTGGCGTCTGACATTTTGACACATTGCTTTAAGAAAATTGCCACCACGAAAAATGTACCTAACTTCACTTATTAAAAGTAAAATGGGTGATATTTTGTGTTTCCTTATTCGTCACTCCTGCACTCGGCTTGCTAACTCTGTAAAAGCATGAATAGCCAAACCGGTGGTATCTACTTATCTTGATCATATACGGTAGATTTTCCCAATCCTCTTTTTCCAACTTAAATTCCTGATTAGATGTAGATGACTTTTAAAAAAATCTTATAATCTTAGATTCCTCCATGGAGATACACTTCAGCCACCTTGTCCTCCGACTCTGAATTTCTGTATAAACGTCTATTAGTATTTCCTGACTCTGTTCAGCTCTCAGCCAGTGTGACCTGAACAGCAAGATGAGACTCAGGCCGCCGCATCTGATGCTGTGGGGAGTCCTTTTGCCAAAATCATACCAGCATCCTTACCCTCTCTCCTGTGTGTAAGCACGTGTGTGTGTGAGCGTGCGTGTGTCTGCGTGGAGGGCTGGAATGATTGTGTGTCCCCCATCTCATCTGTTTCAGGGGGGCCGGAAGCAGTGTGCAAATGTGAGGACGCGTGTGAGGTTGAGCGGGTAAAGGGGGGTGCTCTCTGCCAGGAGTGAGGTTCAGCCACACATGAGGCTGATCCTAGGATGTCTAATGGGAGGCCCTTGCTCCCATAGGGTGGCAGCCCAGCCAACAGTCACAAGAAACACCTCTGTCCTCAGCCTGGGCCACCGTCAGTCCTATCCTCACACTGTGCCACCTCACTTGAGCCCCAGTCCAAGGACGGCTCACCTTTCTTTTTTTTTTCTTTTGTGTCGCACAGCTTTCGGGATCTTAGTTCCCTGACCAGGGATTGAACACGGGCCCCGGCGGTGGAAGCACCGAGTCCTAACCACTGGACCGCCAGGGAATTCCCAACCTTTCTTTACCCTTCTTGGTTCTCCTCAGGTCCAGCCCTTGGCTGGACCACACCAGGGCCCAGGCAAAGGCCATTCTGCTGTCACTCCTGGAAGATTCCCAGGGGCCCGGTTATTGAGGGACAACTGTCCATTGCCCCTCAGGGCCTTAGAAAGACATGGGGCTCTGAGTTACAGGAAGAAAACGGACTAAAGGAAAGGAGAGTCATTCTCTGGTCTGGGGCGGGGGGCTCCTTCAGAACACCCCCAAACTCAGCCAAGCCTGGCCACACCCCAAGGGGCACCGTGTTTCTCCCTCCACAGAGGAGCAGAAGCGTGGGGTCCAGAGGACTATGGGGGGAAGAGCCCCACCACCTATGCAGAGCGCTCGCCACCAACCTGCCACAGGGAAGCTGGGCTGCCTGCCCCCTCCTGGGCCGGATGCTGAGCAAATGTCCCGCCAAGAGACAACGTGCAGGGAGGGTCCTAACAGCATGGCTGCCTCGGCTACCACCTCCCGGCTACCAACACTCGGCTTGCTCTGTGCTATCATCATCTCCCCAAACACTGTGAGCCTGTCTGCCTCTGCCCAAGCGTTTCCCCACTGGGGACACCTCCTTTTCCCATCCTGCCTGAACCTCTCCCTGCCCTGGGCCTGGCCTGCTCCTCTGACAGCCCCTCCCACCCACCACGGGATATGCTATTTAATCTCTCCCTTTCTCTCTCATCTGAGAAGCTTCACCCAGCTCAGACATTAGTGTTAGCATCCCGCACAAATGCCCATGAAAGCCGCTGAGTCTGCCAGTCATCAAGTGAGACCCAGCAAACTGTAGGTAATCACAGAATCCTCCCTTGTGGATTAAATACGTGAGGATTAAATACGATAATGCACATACAGTGTCTAGGAAAAGCCTGACGCCACAAGTGATCAGGATGTGATAGCTGAGATAAGAGTCGCGCGTGGTCCACCCGTCACTGGTGACGGGCAACGCACAGCCAAAATGCTGCTGACACAACGCCCTCTCTCCCACCCAAATGCTTTCCCTGGGCCACCTTCTGGTGTCTCTCCCTCTCTATTTCTATGGCTTCTCAACCCCAGCACCCCCTCAGCAGTTATCTGGGGACCCCAGCTGAGGTGCTCATGAGATTCACGATGGCGTAAAGTGGAAAGTTCTGTCCTTTCTGATCTACAGCAGAAAGCTTGCCCTGGAGGTCGTGCTCCCAGAGACAGTGATGCATGGGCCTCAGTCCTCCAGCCTGGGCAGGGCCAGCTGGGCCAGAGCATACGCCCCTCTCTCCACCTCAGTCCCCGGACACAGCTGCCTGCCTCCCCCGCCCCCGCCAGCTGCACGCGCCGCCCCCTACACAGCAGGGCACACTCACCTCAGCGGCTTTGTAGAAAATGCTAGTGCCGATCTGGACCACCTCCAGGTTCTGCTCTTGTTCGTTGCGTGCGCACTTGATGTAGGTCATCCAGCTTCGGTGGTCCTCCTGGCTGGCGTCGATGAAGTAACGCACCGTGCCGTCCTCGTTGAACACCTGCGCGCAGGTGAATCGGGGGCCAGGTGAGGCGGGGCTGTGTCCTGTGTGCCGCCCATGGCCAGGGTTAGGCCCCAGGCTGGGCACATCCACACGCTCTCTCTCTCCATCCTCACAACAGCCCCAGGAAGTGGACGCGGCTATTATTGTCTTGGTTTTCCAGCCGATGAAAGGGAGGCTCAGAGCAGTACAGTGACTCGCCTGAGGCCAGCTGGCTAGAAGTGGCCAAGAGGGAGTCAGTCTCCAGGGCCCCACAGTCTCCTGCTGCCAGGTCCTCCCCATCCCCAGATGCAAAGCATCTCCGAGAGATCACTGAGCACACAAAGTGACATCCACTCCAGCTAGTTCTCTGGGGATGCAGAGGTGCTCCCCAAAGCCGCGGAGAGCACTGGCCAGGACCTCAGCGGGGGACACAGAAGAGCCTCGAAAGGGAAGGCTGGCTCACTGTGTCACCCTGGCCTGGCCCAGGCCCCTTTTGTGGGAGCTACCAAAAGTACTCAGAAACCAAACTGGACCCCAACTTCCTAACCCAGCAACAACTGGAGATGGGAACCACGGCCCAGGCCTCCAGAGGTGGGAGGAGGTGAGGTTAGGAGAGGCCTCATGGCCCTCTGCTCTCTTCCTTTGCTCCTGTGACCAGGTGCAGGATTTGGCCCATCCTGTCTCCTTAATGGTCTGCCCGGTGGTGGGGAGCCATGGGGGAAGGAGGGGAAATGACATTAGGGAGAGGGTGCCTCAGCCTGGCCTCCTCAGGGTGAGACCCCCAAGAAGAGGAGGTGCTCTGGGAGGGGCTTTGTCCCCAGGGGGGCCCTCCCTGGCATCTGGCACCATTGTTGGGGAGGAGGGTCAGAAGAGCCTGGATGGAAGGTCAGTTTCCTTCTGTAAAATGGGAATAATAACTCATGGGGCTGCTGAGAACATCTGGTGGAATGCAGGCCCAGCGCTCACAAAGCCAACTCGGTGCCAGTTAATCGGTGTTCATTTCCAATGCCATTATTCTGCTTGGGTTGAGAAGCCCGACTCCCAAGGAGCACAGGCTCCCTTCATCCCTCCTTCCAGCCACCCTCACCCCAAGGCCAGGGCTGGCTTTGAGGGGCTTTCCTTGCTGCTTCTGGAGTGAGGGAAAGAATGCAGGTGGCTGGGCAGTGGCTCCCAGGAGTGGCTTGCCAGCTCTCTGTGGGACCCTGGGCAAAGGGCATGGCCTCTCTGGGTCTCCACGCCCTCCTCTGAGAAGCGGACCTAACAACGGACGCGATCCCTAGGGCCGGCCAGAGGAGAGTGCCTTCGCCTCGCGATTTGGGGAGGAACCTCCAGGCATCAGGTGGCGTAGGATCCGGCCTCAGGGAGCGTCAAGGCCTGGCCCAAGGCTCCCGCAGCTTCCAGCGAGGGCGAAAGTAGCGGCTAGACGCCAGGGCCCCACCCGAAGCCCGCAGCCCGCAGCCCCGCAGCCCGCGCGTACCTCCCACATGAGGTTGTTGTTCTTGCAGATGTCCACGTGCTCCGGGGCGATGACGCGGCCGGTGAAGGGGCCCATTTCGGTGCCCGCCTTGATCCACGTCTTGGAGAAGATGCCGAGGCCCTCGCCGGGGATGGAGCTCTGCGCGATGATCACCTCGGCCGGCAGCACCAGGCTGGACAGCTTCTGAACCTCTGTGGCCGCCAGGCGTGGGGACTGGGTCAGAGCCTGAGGCAGGGGAGGCCCGGCTCTTCCCCGGGGGTGGAGGTTCAGCGACCCGAGTGTCCTCTGATTGCAGCCCGGGGACCCTCCGAAAGCAAGAGGTGCTTTGGGACTCATTTCGAGGAGAGATTTTTGTTTGTTTGTTTGCCTTTGTTTTGTTTTTAGTCTCTCCGCGAATTCTCAAAGCATCCACAACCTCCCCTGCCCTCCACCCCGGCAAAGATTAAGAACTACTGAGCCGACCGCAGTGCGTGGCTTTACCAATGGGTAAACTGAGGCCCGCTCCCACGAGGGGGTGACGGCCCAGCCAAGACTCTTTCGCCCTGTCTGGTTCTGGGCCGATCGTGCGTCGCACGGCGCTCACTGCGCGTCGCGGCACCGAGCACAGGGCACTGTCGGAGGACCCAGGACGCCGTCAGGGCTTCTGACTCCTTTCGCGGTGCGGGCCTCGCGCCCGGGGCGGGCTGGCAGCGCCCGGAAGGGAAGTCTAGTTTCGAGGCGGCGGAAGCTCAAAAGAAACGCAGGCGACGGCGGGCCGTGTCTCGCGCTCTCTGGGTGACCCCGGGCGCGCCTGGGTCCCTCGCTGCCGCCAGGATCCGGGGTGCCAGGAAGGGCAGTGCCCGGATCGAGGCGAGCCGCGCAGTCGCCTCTCTGGGCGGACAAGAGCCGGGGCGGCCCGCAACCTCCGGGGGTCCCCCCCCCCCCCCCCCGGGCGCGCCCGGGCACCGGACCAGGCGGAGTCCGCGCCCACTTACCTGGCCTGCGTTCCCCAGGACTGTCGCGGCTTCGGCTGCCTGGGGCCCCCCCCAGCCCGGCGCCCCCCCGGGGGCCCCCCCCCCCCCCGCCTGGTCGCGCAGCCGGAGTGGGAGCGGCGAGGCGCACAGGGGCGGCCTCCGTGTCTTACAAGGTCCCCCTCTAAGCTACCTGGGAAAATACCCGGCCAGCGGGCCAGCTGAAAGGGGGGTTTAAACGGTGTCCATTGCGGCGCGGCCGGCAATTTGTCACGCTGTTAAAGTGATCGCATTCATTCGGCTCCATTCGAAAGAAATTGCTAATTCTAAATTCATTAGCCCTGGAAGAATGCTGTAGCAGTAAATTGTAGCTCAATGCGGAGGGGACTTGTTTAAAAGGGGCCGAGGAATTCCCCTTACAAAAAGGGGGGATTAGATGGTTGACATAGCGTGAATGGAAGTGGAATTAGTCTGCACGGTAAATTAAGAGAGGAACAGAAATCGTAAAGGGGGAAAAGGGGGCGGCGCGCAGAGATGCCAGCGCCGGGGAAAGATATTGTTTGCGGGTTGATGAATGAGGAGTAAGAACTTGAGACATCTTAAAGAAAAGAAACTTTTCTTACTCTCTCTTTCTCTCCGTCGCTCTCTCCGCGGCTTTCTCTCCCGTCCGCCCGCCCTCCGCCCCCTCCCCAGCCCCCGCTGCCTTTTAAAGTTCTTGGTTTAAGTGGGAACTTTCGCGGGTCAAGCCCAAGTTAACTAAATGAATTTAAAACCCCCTTCTTTTTGAGTCAACTGCTATTACACGCCTAGTAAGGCTTTAAATGCCGGGAACCCGCCGGCTCTAAGGGGTGAGGGGCGGATGGGGAAGCGCTGGGGCGGCGCGCCCGGCCGCCTGGACGCCGAGATCTCTTCACCGAGCCGCGCGAGGTGGAGGTGCTCCCCGCCCCCGGCCCCTCCCCGCCCGGGCTTTGCTGCTCGCTCCCTGGTTCGGCTCGCGGGAAACTGAGTCACACGCAGCATTTGGAACGCCCAGATTGGCGCGAGCTGCTGCGACGCCCCGTGTCCCCGCCGCGTCCTGCGCGTGTGGGCCCCGGGAATCAGGGGCCGCGGGGAGGAGGGGACGCTATCGGCCTCGACGGCGCGACTCACCGCCCGAGAAGGACTGCGCCAGGACCTCGGCGGTGAAGGCTGTCTTGGGGCTGGCGTGGTGGCTCTTGTCTTCGAAGAGCTGCTCGCCCAGCACGTTGCGCCAGCGGCCGTACAGGAAGCTGTGCAGGATGTCGGAGGTGATGACCTCTGCCAGCGCCAGCCCCGGCGCCTTCAGCCCTGTCTTGAGCACCAGGGCCTCAGCCGGGAGCACGGAGCCCATCATGGGCGGCCCGGGGCTCGCCGGCGCCGGGGACGGACGGACGGCCGGGCCGAGGCGGGGATGTGGTGGGCGAGTGGGGAGCACAGGGGCGAGAGAAGAGGGCTGTGATGGGGGAGGACGAGGACGCTGGAGGTAGCGGGAGGCGGGGGGCGGGGTGGCTGGGAGGAAAGTGAACGAGGGGGAGCGAGGCAGAAATGAAGAGAGAGATGGAGAAATCTGCGGAGATGGCAGAGGCGGCGCGGAGGGCTGGAGAGCCAGGGGTGGAGGCGGAGGCGGGTGCGGGGAGGGGGGCGGTGCGGGGGGGGTGGGAGGCGGGTGGCTTCAGAGAAACGGCGGCGAGGGGCTCTCGGCCGCGCGCTCGCCTCTCGCACACCCGGCCCGGACGGTCTTCCCCTTGGCAAAATCTCAGCGCCTTTATAGAAGCCGCAGTGACCCTCCTAATTGGTTATTAATGACCCCCTGACGTCGGAGGACAGACTTCTTGTACCCGGCCCGGCTCGAGGAGCCTCCGCCGCGAGAGCTCAAGGGGCGGAGGCGCTCGGGCCGCTCGGAACGTTCCCCCTGCGTCCTCCCGCCCCGCCCCGGCCCTTCCACCCCCCTCCTCTTCCTCCTCCTCTCCCCGTGGGAAGTGCGGGGCAGGGAGGGAGGCTCAGCCCGGGGCGAGGAGAGGAGGGGACAGAGCAGGGCAGAGGATCGCTCGGACTCCGGGGACCAGACTAGGCCGGAGAGGACGCCTGGCCTCGGGCCCCGCGCTCAGCCGCTATCCTAGGCCGGCTCTGCGCTCAGCATCCCTGCCCGGCCGGGCCGGCATTCACCTCCCCTACGCTCCCTGGCCCGCCCGGCCCGCCGGGTCCCGCGCTCTCCCGGGCTCCACGCCCCAGACTGCGGTAGTCGCCCTGGAGCCCGCAGGCCCGGCGCAGGCCGCGCTGAACTCCTGCGCAGACGGCGCTGCGGAGGCCTGCTCTTCGCTTCAAACGGGCCGCTGCAGCCGCCTCGCTCGCTGCCCGCGGCCGGCTGTCAAACTCCTCCCGGGGCGGACAGGGCTGCGGGGCGGGGCTGCCGTCGGGGCTGAGCCCGGCCTGAGACGGCTTCGTAGGCGACCGTCTCCCGGTCCTAGGGGGCTAGGTCGGGGTCGGGAAGGGCAGACCGAAATCCGAGATAGCCGCGGGTCGCTTGGAAAAGGCTTTCCTTACGGAGGCAGGGGGACCGAAAGGGGTCTCCGGACCGTCGTGAATGTGAGCAGCGGCTGTGCCCTGGAGCGAACGCCCTCCGAATCTGCAGGCAGCCCCGGGCCAGGCCGCTGTGTGCCCTCGGCTTAAGGCTCGAGCCTCCAGGCTCCTTCGCTCAACTGCGACGTAGGGAGGCCCGCTGCGCCCTGCACTCTGCTTCCTTCTTGCCTCCTAGCTCTCACCCTTTCTCTTCTGGCCTCCATCTTCCTCTCTCCCCTCTTCCCTACTCGCTTCCGTCCCCCACCCCACCTCAACCTCGTCCCACCGGTAGACTTTCTTCGCGGAGGTTCCGCGGTACCCAGAGCACCAGCGCGGTCTTTCCCCGGAGACAGGGAGCTGCTGAGCCCGGAGCCAAAGCGGGAAAGGTCACCGCTTCCTGCGGGCTTTGCCGCTTCCCAGGGTTAGCCTCATCCCCACCTCAGCCCCAGACAAGGGATGGGGAGCACAGAGACATCTCCATCTGCTGAACTCCTCAGCCCTCCCCCCGCCCCAACCTCCCCGCAACGTCAGATTCCGATAATGGAGCCGGGTTTTCTGGACGTTCAGGGCAGTGCGTTGGGCTCACGGTTAGCTGGAGGAATCGGATTCCCCAGGCCTTGTCCTCAGAGAGGGGACTTGGGTGGAGAGGCAGGGGGCCTGGCCTTCCTACAAGGAGTACCGTCCTCAGGAGCCTTCGCAAAGTGCTCCCTCCATCGCAGGGTCCTGCCTTTGCTAAGCCAGCCTCACACCTGGTGGCCGCAGACACCCGGGCTCCGCGTACCCCGTTCCGGCCAGTGGTCTCCTGGCATCCCGGGGTCCGCATCGGGGCGTAGAGTAAGGAAGGCAGCAACCACTGGCCTTCAGACCCAGAGCCCGGGTCACCTCGAGTCTGATGCCCGGGAGAAGCCGCACTGGGCAGCCGGGGCGACCGTCGGGCCCGGCGCCAGCAGAGGGCAGAGCTGCGGAGGAGCGAGGGCAGCCCGTGGGTTAGGGTCCCAGAACCTCAACTTTCTTCCAGACGTCGTCGGAGAGTCACACTGGCTCTGGCTTGGGCCCAGAGTTCGCGTCTGAGGCGGGCGGATGGAGTCCGGGCATGGGAGCCTCACCCGCGCCTGGGCCTCGGCTTCTACAAAGACTTGATGGAGGGGAAGAGAGTCGCCAGGAGCTGCAACCAACCTCAGCGCCTCGGGGAGACCAAGGAGGGATGAGGACTGCTGTGCGTCCTTGGGTCGGCCCTTCCCCTCTCTGAGCCTCAGTGTCCTGATGTGTGCAATGGTTTGGGTTGGACTTTGTGAACTGAGGTTTCTTCCTGCCTTGTCTCTCTGGGTCAGGTCACTTTCCTCTGAAAGCCCCGAGGATTCCCAGCCCACACCCCACTGAGAAAAAGTCCTCAGCTCTGTGCGGTCCCTCCGTCCTGGGGGTGCAGCATGGGGGTCCTGGACAGTAGCTCGGGGTCAGAAGATGAGAGGATCGAGGGTCCGGACTGCGGCCAGGGAGCCCTCTTCTTTCCCCTGGACCCGCAAACCCCGGGAGAGGTGCTGGGGACGGGGCGGAAGCGGAGGCGGCCCCGAGCGTCTCCTCTGCGCCCTCAAGTTTTGTGCTTCTGTTTAGCCGCAGACCCACCCAATCGCGCCCCAGGGAAAAAGGGATCTGTAGGGAGCGCCCCAGTCTCAGGGCCCATTGGAATTGGGGAGCAAGGCCCCCCGCGCTGGCATCTCCCCTCGCTGAGATCGCGAGGGAAAACACCGCACGTTCTGGGGTTTCTCCGCGGATGAGCCGTGTAGATCTCCGCGGGGCCCGGGCGCGGAGTGTGCCCGCACCGAGCCCCCTCCCGTAGCCCCGGCAGCCTGAACTCGCAGGCACCGCCCCCCTCGCGGCCGCGGGCCGCCGCTCCGAGCTCTCTTCAATATTCATGGACGTTAATAGAGAGGCCCCCAGTATATCGGTCCATTGTGGGCGGCTCGTAGGGCTTGAATAGGCCCCGGCCCCCTTTCTTCGGCGCGGCTTCCCGAGGGGCCAGGCCAGGAGTGAATGGCCCCGCTTCCCGCCCCGCGCCCCCTCCCCCCTGCGGGAAGAACATCTTTATCCCCGCCGCCGCCGCCGCCGCCGCCGCCGCCCGGGCCCCCATTCACGCGGCCCGGGCTCCGGGCGGAACGAATCAATCGGCCGCGGCTCTTCGGAGGTCAGCCTCATAGCCCTGGCAGCCCCGTCTCCTCGCGCCCACGGGAGTGGAGAGAGGGAGGCGGCGGCAGGCCGACGGACCCACGGGCTGAGGGGCACTGGGTGGGTGGGGAGGTGGCAAGGGCACGGGGACATCGGGAGGGGTGGCCGGGCCGGGGCAGGTGACGAGGGCCGCAGTGCCCGGCGGCCGCTGGAAGCCGGCTGACCTCTCCTTGATGCCCTGTGCAGGGCGGATCGCGGAGAGGACCGGGGCTGCTGCCCAAGCCCGGAGACCCGTCCCACCTCCCCTCGACGCACCCGCACTGGCCCCTTCGGGTCCGGCGGCCGCACCCGCAAGGCCCAGGGCACGGGGTGGGGGGCAGCCTAGGGCTCCCCAGGCCACGCTTCTCGGCCCGCAGGCCACTTTCGTTCTCGCCTGTGCGCCCAGGTCCGGACAGCGCTCTTCCAGGAGCGTTCGGAGGGGAGGCCGGGTTCCTGGCTTCCACGCCCTCGCTCGGCGCCCCGGCCCGGGTGGAGGGGGCGCTCGTCGGTCAGGCGGGGCCAAGGCGCACGGGTCCCCGCCCCTCCCGCCCCGCCGGCCCTAGGAGGCGCAGAAAGGAGCCCATTGTCCGCCGGGAAATACATTTTTGGGGTCCGAGTGAAAGCCCGTCTTTCTTTTGAACTTTAGAAGAAAGTCTTCTGCCTAGCCCCTCAGAGGGAAAGATTTGTTCCCACCTCCCGGGGGCCCCGCGCGCCTCCTCCTCCCGAAACATCTGCCAGGGGAAAATCCACCCTGGAGGGCAGATCGCGCTCGCTCTAAGCCCCTCGAACTCATTAAAAAGTTATTAGCGGCGGGGGCAGGTCCCGCGCAGGTATCGATCGGCCAGAATGAGCCAGAGGAAGAAAAGGCGAAGAATGTGGACGAGCGGCGCCCGACCCCCCGCCCCGGTCCCCCGGCCTCCGGCGCTTCAGCCCCAAGGCGGGAGTGGGGCCCCTGCGCCGTCCGCGCGTCTCGCGGTCCGCGTGTCCGGCTGCCTCCGGCGGCTACTCGCCCCTCCCCTGCCCGGCGCCCCCGCCCCTCCTCCCGCACGCGAGTTCCCGTCTCCTCCCGCCGCTTCCCTCCTCCGCTTCTCGCGCCGCCGTCGCGCGTCCCCCAGCCACTTCTCTCCTCTCCCTCCTTCCTCTGAGCCTCTCCTTTTTCGCGGGCGCTCCGGCTCCCGCTCCGGCTTTCTCACACCCTCTGGGCTTCCTCCTCCCATTTCTCTGTCTTGCTGTCTGAGTCTCAAAATCTGTCTGGTCGCCACGCTCGCGTGGCCTAGGGAAATTCCTTCCCCGCGTGGGGCCCGTGTGCCCCCTCCCGCGTTCCCGCGGGACGATTCGGGGCTCCGGGGGCGCCCCGGCTCGCGCGTACAAAGGAGCTACCGCTGCCGAGGTGGGATGGGAGGCGCGGGCCGCAGAGACGGTTTCAGTCGACGTGACTCGGGCCGGCCAGCGCAGGGCCGCCGGGTGGAGTGGCGGCCGCAGCGCCGTGAAGGGACAGCGCCCCTTCCTCAATCTAATTAGCCTCCGCGGCCGCGGAGAGACAAAGGCGCGCCTCGGGGCGCCCACGTCGAGCGCGTCGGCGCGGAGCCGGCG